ATTGGCAAATTCCAAATGTTTTCATTGCCATTCATTAAAAAAAATGACCTAAATTGATGCGTTTCTAAGATAAATTGGGAGAGCCCGACATAATGTTAATAGACAACATTCAGGCCTCAAATGACTTGAGATTGTTGGGGCAAGAAAATATTCTGGTTGCAGATACAGCCATGACCTAGCAAAACTGTGATGATGAAGGATCGTACACATAAGGTCCCGATGAATTCAGAAGTTGCCAAGGGCACCCTTTATATAGGGTCTAAAATCACTTGAATATACAAAATGATAAGTCTCTGTCCTCAACAGTTATATTGATCTGTATTTTCTTTTATATATGACTTGATAATTGTCAGACAGAATGCTGACACTGAGAGATGCCGGCACCATTATCGACCTCTTGGGGCACTTTGGCCTCCTGTTCACTTGGAGAGTAAACAAATCGGACAAAGCCACCCAGCCCTTCCCTTTCAATGGGATCAAGATTGGCTTGTTACAGCTCATAAGACAGGACTATGTGCACTAATCTTCATTTAGTTTTTTCGTTTGTTTTTGGGTTACTGTTTCATTTGAATTTGATGTGAGTTTCCAGAGGAATTATTGAACATTAAATTATTTAAGTATGGCTTGCATGCAGTGAAAGAAGATGAGCTGCAAAAATATTGCTTGATCAACGGTAACAGACCATGAATAAATCTTCAAAATTTCAGCGTGGAAATAAAAAGTTATCAAGTTATTCCAGGTATATGTAGATGAAAAATTAAAAGATGCGCAAGTAAGGTTCTAGCCTAGCAGTAGGAGGGGTTTGTCTTTTTTCTCCGCACTTGAGTTCGAGCCTTACCATACATGCCTGTCACCCCCGCGGTGCCTTATTTGCTTACTGGGCTTGCAGGATGTTCAGTGAACCGTGAGAATTAGTCGTGGTGCGCGTAAGCTGGCCGGACACCTCATGTAAATCAAAAAAAAATTAAAAGATGCGATATAATTTCATATATATTACATGGGATTAAAAATAATTAAGACCCTGTTATGTTGAGACAGATGAAACCAGCTCCGGGTAATTAATTATTACCCAGGTTGTAAGGTTTTGTGTCCCAAATTTCCTTTAGTGGGCATCATCTTACATATTATTGGAGAGCATGTCGATGTCGAGGATGTCACCCCATAGATTAGCTTATACTTAGCAACAAGATTCAGTTGCAGTCCTTTTTCATGATCCCGTGACCAACTATTTTAATTCAAATTTGTTGCGGATTGCTCAAGGACAGAAGAAAAACTCAACATTTGGTTTTCACGAAGTACAATAATGCATTTTGGAAGGTTTTCTCTCTGAAGAAGACGTCAAGAAAGTGCTTATCAATACCAAGAAGAACTAGCCAATCTCAATATATGAAAACTATATGGAAGGGTTCCATGGCATTAACTTTCTCGGAAATAGAACAGGTCTGATAAGATAAATGTATGGAAACTGCGTGAAAGTCTTCCGTGTCATTCTTGGAAATAGAAACTCTCGTCGATTGCATGCAATAGAATTATATTTATATATATATATATATAAACAATACTGTCACTGATCGATGAGTTTGTACAATCCTGTACCTACCTATATCGCCGGCCAAAAGAAGAGCAACTTTTTGTTAAGAAAAAAAAGGAAAGAACAACTAGATTATGTAATCTTTGATTTGGCCAAACTTGCGATGCCAAATAATTTTCTTTTAGGAGGAAGATAATTTTCTGTATAAATCCTTTGAATTTGACTGGACAGAATTATTTGTAGTTTCAGAAATCGGGGAAAGGGTTCATATAATTGACTATTGACCCTTTTTTTTGTCAAATCAATGAGAAAATCAGACAACCTAGCTACCGTATAAATTGTCGATAACGTTTTTCGCATGCAATTGTCTAAGAAATGTCTCTCGTTATTGATGCAAGTGCGCTAGAGAAGCACATGATTTGTTCCTACTCTAATCACATTTCAACCGAGATGGCTACAAGGAATTTGTAAATAAACATATATACCAAATCATCCCAGATATATGTTAAGTTAATAGAGAGAAGCCTCAAAATGTTTTTATATGTTCATGTTCTATTCATCAGTTTAATTTACAAAAAACCCTAAATTCACTGCCACGGGATTATTGCTGTTTTGACTGAGATCGATTTTACTGGAATATCTTTTTTGTTCCTTCATTTATATATTCAAGATACACTGGGGATAAAAGGGATTCTTATATCGTTAGAACCCTACCCATCCTACTGAAAAACATATGTACGCCTTTTGCAACTTAATCAAATCCAACGTTGCATTTATGCTTTCATAAGGTCGTAAATATGATTTTATTATAATCATTGTCATAAATACGTTGCCCTGTATTAGCATCTTGCTTCGTTTTTGTTTCAGAAGTCAAACACACATACCCCTTTAACATATTCCGTATTGGTTCGAATCCAAAAAAAAAAATATTCCGTATTGGTTCACAGGATGTATACATATATATTGTTGCATGTGACCCTCGAAGGATTGTGTTTGAAGTTCTACCTACAGAATACACTGTAGAGGACACAGATGTTCGGGCCAATCATGTAATTGACCCAACAAAATAACTGTAGATGATATCTAAGCATCAATTTTTGTCATTAATGACCCTAGCCTTATCATTGTTCAAGTCATGTGCGCTGTTAACAACTGCTTGAAAAGCTCCAAGATGTAGATTGGGCATCAATGGTGGTTCTAGAGTGTTGATTGCTATTAAAGCAGCCCTAATCACTGGGATCCACAGCCCTCCGCGTGAACCCTTTAGCGTCAGTGTGTCCCAAATCCTATCCATGATGTTCTTTTCTTATCAAGGACAGGCAAAAAAATTAAAAACTTCTTCAGGTTTTGATTCATCCATCTAAGTTGGAAATGTACAAAGAAGCTGTCTCTTGATTAAAATATAGCCCAAATCACTAGCAACATCTTCATTTTCTTCACCAATTACTTAGGTTTAGAGCTTCCACGATCATATTGTGCGTTGAGGTTCAAATTAGTTTACAAACAACCGATGTCACTAGATTGTTTTTGGCTATTAAAGCTATTCGGATGTATGTGGAGCAATATTCTATCCAAAATCTTGCTCATGGTTCGCTCTTAAATTGTTACTACATCCTCAAGGCACATGGTTATCTGGTGCCAATTTTGACAAATATTGTTCAATGTGTGAGCTTTCCTGGTCAGTACTGAAGTATAATATTTCTCTGATAAGAAAGAAAGACCTCTGACCCCACTAATCCATTCCTCATGCATCTATATCAATGACACCATTGATTAAAAATCAAGTAAAAATTAACTTGGAAGTCATGTTTTTTAGCAATAATGTTTGTGGAAATGTTGATATACCATAAAAGATTTTTGTATAGCCAAAGATAGTTGAACATATTCTCTCTTCAACTATGTATATACACACGCACAGAGCAAGTTGACTCCCTGCTAATTACTACTAAACAAATTCAATCATTTATTAATTAAAACACTCAAGGGTTTATGATCCAAAGTCTTGAAGTTCAAATTGTTCAAGAAAATAATAATAAGTATTCAAGTTCAATGAAGATGGTCCATTTGTCTCGCAATTGGGATTTGGGACCATTTGACATGAATACTCATCGTCTTAAAAAGATTAAAATAAGACAAGCTGTTCTAAACAAAGATGACAAGAAGATCTGCCATAACTATAAAACAAGGCCCCAGAAGATTTTAGCCACTTTAATTTGATTAGTTCAACAACTAAACTTGAGCTAATATCATATCAAAACCAAATATCCTTGTACTTGAGAATTCTAGCAAGCTCAAGAGAGCAATGATTCTCTTATTCATCCTCACTCCAACTTGGGACTAGGGAAGAGATCGTGGTCTGTTGAGCAGTAAAGACACAAAACAAAAGAGGGTAATTTAAGGGATAAATTGGGAAATTATCATAGTAAATTAAAAAAATTAATAAATTAATAAAAATAAGATTTGATTCAATAGCATAGTTTAACCATGTCACGCTTTAGAAAAGGAACATGGTCAAATTGTAAGACATGATGAAACCATATCATTTATATTTTATGACTTAATAAGTTTATCGGTTTCAAAAATAACAAGAAAAATCTCAAAACTACTAAAACAGAGAGCCTTGTCAAGAGTTTTAATATTTAAAGATTCGATAGTCCACGTAGTGAAACAGTGGCTACTATAAGGAAACAGCCTTTAAAAATTTCTGTAAAAATTTGAGCATGATCGAACAGTCGAGTCAAAAAAATTTGAGTTCTTATTCTGATATGACGCAACTAAATCTCCTCTTACACCTAAACCTATTCCATTGATTTATAAATATATCTGCTAAATCATTCATATAATCTCTTTGAAGCAGATCTTTATTTAGTTATGATATACTCATACCTGATTACTCAAAATCATGTATACTTTATGAATAATAACTTTTTGATATTTTAATTGAAATCTATTTTTCAGTCAATAAATTAAACAAATATGTATATTATAACTTATAAAATATATTTGAAAAAAAAACTTTATAAAATTATAGTTTTAGTATGAAATAGTTAACTGATTAATACAACTAGATCTCATCAGTCAACTGATTAAGATAAAAAAAAAATTAGAATTTAACTACATGTTTCTTAAATATAATATAATTAAATTATGTTATTTTATTAATTATTTTTAACCATATATCAATTCACTAAATTTTTTTAATTTACTGTGATAATGTTTAAAAAAACAAAATCCCAAATCGAGGGTCCATGTGAAGGCTGGCATTGGCACTACCACCATCCCCACACTTCTATTTTTTCTTGAGAGAAATATTAACAACTCTAATCTAGACCCTGGAGTCGTTGTCATCTTTGTGCTTGCATATTACCCCAAAAGCAATACCCCTCACAAAATGTATGGCAGACCCCAACCCACCCATGTGACCACTCCCTCTGCTCTGTCCCCACTTTCCAGTTTATAAACCCCACATCCTTCCCAAACCCTCCTTAAGTCCTTCGCCTTCGATCTCCATTGTCCATCTCTCATCTCACTCAGTACTTTCTTGCACCCAAATCATTCACTTTCCTCTGTTTTTTGCTGTCCATACAAAGCACATATTCACTATGTGTTCCTTTAAATTTAGGCTGCACCGCAGTGCTAATAATATTGCTACTCCTATTGCTAAGATTAATGGCCGCCCGGTCCTTCAGCCAAAATCCAATCAAGTTCCTAGCTTGGAAAGACGCAATTCACTTAAAAAGAACTCACCTGCAAAGTCTCCTACTCAGGAACCAGCTGCAGTACCACCTATACCATTAATGCAACCAGCTGGTAATGCCGCAGGTACTAAAACTAAGCAGCCTTCAGGACTGTCCCTCCCTATCTCTCCCAAATTAAAATCACCTGTACCTCCAGCAGTTAAGAGAGGAAATGATCCTGACGGGTTAAATACTAGTGCTGAAAAGGTTTGGATACCACGTAGCACAACAAAAGTGACAGCTAGTTTGGTAAAGAAGTCGACGAAATCTAGCACTGTAGGAGTTCCAATTTCTGTTGACCCTTTTGCTATGAAACACTCATCTTTGTTAGTTGAGTCTCCAGGCAGCATAGCTGCTGCTAGAAAGGAACATGTTGCTGTTATGCAAGAACAAAGAAAAATGCGTATTGCTCATTATGGGAGAACAAAGTCTATGAAGTATCAAGGGAAAGTTGTTCCTGCTGATTCTCCGGCTACAAATACCATCTCTCGAGAGGAAAAGAGATGTAGTTTTATCACTCCTAATTCAGGTATCAAACGAATCACTGACATTCCATTTGATTCAGTTAACCTTTCTGTGCAATTAAAGGGTACAAAAGAAAGGTAACTAAAGTTTTCAGTCTATACTTATGTTTCACCAGATCCTATCTATGTTGCTTACCATGATGAAGAATGGGGCGTTCCTGTCCATGATGATAAGCAAGTTCTCTTCACTCATGCTCAATGTATATGATGGCACTCATGAATCATGAAACTAAAGGACTGATCTTTTTATGCAGGATGCTGTTTGAATTGCTAGTACTGACTGGTGCACAAGTTGGATCAGATTGGACTTCAATCTTGAAGAAAAGAGAGGCATTCAGGTGTGTGCTTTCGACAAGGGAAAAAAAATAGAATTGGTTGCGTTGAATTAATTGACAGAGAAATTGTGATTAAATGGTTTTTTTCCTTTCTTTTTGGACATTGATGTCTACTGCAGGGAGGCCTTTTCAGGGTTTGATGCAGAAGTTGTTGCCAAATTCACTGAAAAGAAAATAGCATCAATTAGTTCTGAGCATGGCATAGAAACAAGCCAAGTTCGAGGAGTGGTAGACAACTCTAATAAGATTCTGGAGGTGATGCAACATAGCTTTCGTCACTTGTTCATTATTTCTTAACAGTCATTTCAGCCTCTTAACTTTTTACTATACTGATGGAATCAAACATCTTACTTCATCCATGACATTCTCATTCGATAAGAACTATGTATATTAATTAAGGTTCTTCTAGAAAAGATCCTAGGTTGGGATTGATTTAATAGTTAATTAACATTCTTAAGAATCATTTAAAAATTGAACGTGTTGACCTTATAACACTAGCACGGTTTATTTTTGCGTTTGAAACTATATTTGGATGCATAAAAACTTGCCTTGTTACAAAGTCAATAGACATGATTGAGAGACTTTACTGTGTAAATTATCCTGATTAATTTTAATTTAATTTTACAGGTTAAAAGGGAATTTGGGTCATTTGACAAGTACTTGTGGGGATATGTTAATCACAAACCTATATTCTCCCAATACAAATCATGCCAAAAGATCCCTGTGAAGACCTCAAAATCAGAAACCATAAGCAAAGACATGGTGAAGAGAGGGTTTAGATTTGTTGGTCCAACTGTCATCCATTCATTCATGCAAGCAGGCGGACTCCGTAATGACCACTTGATCACCTGTCCAAGGCACCTTCAATCCACAGCCTTGGCATCCCAACATCCTAGCACTCTAGCCCCACCTTCGTAGATGGAGTTGATTTACAAGTGGCAGCATAGAAGGGGGAGAGGAAAAAAAAAAAAAACAGAGAGAAGGGAGATGATCAACATATTACATGGCATATAGTGTGACCATAAAGAAACAAATATAGTTAAGTGGCTTGATTACCTAACTACAGATAATAAATTAATGCTGCTTTTTAATGTCAAATATTTCTGTGTAGACAGGCTTTTTTGGGAGTTTTCAGTGATGGGGCTAAGATAGAATGGGATGATGAAATGAAAAATTAAAGGAGTCTTCGGAGTGGGGGCATATGGGCACAGACAGCATGTGCGGGTGGGCAGGCAATGGCATATGTATGGTTTCTCAACTCCCAATGGCTTTTAATTTAGTGACCACCACGCCCCCCTCAATTCTCTATTCTTCCTTTAAGCTGGCCCTCGGAGGATAATCTCCTAAATATTCTCTTCTTTTCTCCCTTCGTGGATTGGATAAGAATTGTTGTATCTTCAGCTTTCTCGAGGATATAAAGACTAAATTCTCTGGAGACAGGCACGAGAATTTGATCCAAGTATATAGTGACTTGTTGCCATTGTACCTCATCTCCTAAACAGAGTAGCCCAGATACATTTGTAATGGTCATTTTTTTCAATCCTAACTTGTGAGGGATACCAAGTTCTTGTGATATTATGAACTAATGTACTGTTTGAGTGCTTTTTTGCTGGCTGATCTCCAACGACTTTTGCCTGCGCAAAATGTGTTAAAATTAATATCATGGGTCTCCATAAGCAGCTCATTTGGACCCCCTGTTTTCCAAAACTCAGCCTCCTAAGTTAAGCATATCCTCTTCCTCCTACACGTTCTCTCAGCTTCATAGCTGCGTACCATTCTTTCCTATACTTCGTGCAGCAATCACTGCAGAGATATATGTATGATAATTGATGGCTGTAAAGTTGTGGCTTTAACTTCCCGTAAAGTGGGCATATATCGGAGGGGAATCCAAGGCACTAGCTCGGGTTGAGGGGCCTCTAGCTAGCTGTACGCTGCCCCTCCCCCAAGAAAATACGCAATGTTGTGCCTGCAACTACTGTATAGGGTTGAGGGGCTTGGTGCTTTTTCGAGTCTCTGGAGATGAGGGCAAGTGACCCCAACGAACTGGCCTGCTGATATGCTTCGTAGCCTTGAATCCTAGACTTTGTTTCGTATCCAAACTGAATTTCTGACCATGACAGAAATTCCAAACAAAAGCCTTCAGTTACAACTAGACTAAACTGTCATGATCCAATGTATTCAGGCCTGCATATTTATATTTCATGGATTGCAGCTTTACGGGTCTTTTCAATTTCCACTAACAGTTACCCACCACAGCATCCATGACAAAAAGTTGCATATAACATGCAATTTATATTTGGAAATTTTAATTGTTTTTAATTTTTATAAAGAATATATTTCGTGATTTGAATTCAAGAGCTACTATGTAAATTTAAAATTCTTTATTATTATAATATACCTTTTAAAGATAATACATGTATATGTGTATGTATGTATATATATATATATAATTCTAATATATAGAGATAGTCCACCTTTGATGATGTAGGAAAAAAAAGACAGGCTTGGTTTTGATAGCAGAAGATGGTATGGAAATATCATATAACTGCAAAATAAGAAAAAACAATTGGAGGTAAAATTTCTATATTTAAGAAATTGGAGTAGTAAATGAATATGTAGCAATTGAATCCGAACATTCTTTTTATCACGTAGCATGTTGGTGTTTGCATTGTTGACACTGATTTCAATTTACTTAATTCCCACTGAAATAAAGGTCCTCGTCATTCATAAAAGGCTTGTAGACAACTAATTTAGACGGTTTTATCCTCGAATTTGAGAGACGCATGAATTAAAAAATTTAAAACTAAATTTGGGAGTTGATTATTTAAAAGCAATTTGTAATATTATTTTTGAGTTTATAATGTTGAGATGGGAGTTTTTATGTCTTCTTGCGATGAAAATGAGATCGGGACAACATGACCCGTTGTCTCCTAATTTTTTACAGCCTATATCTTTTAACATACTCATTTATAAATATACAAGGTCCGGCCCCCACTTCATTGCGGGCCATGTCAAAATCCAACTACTGCATTCAAAAAATCTAAAGTGTTGCTACTTTTTATGCGTGCAATAAAATATTTGAAATGAGAGTGAAAATGTCGATAAATGTATAAGATAAAATTAAATGATCATCATATATGTTAATAAATTTAAAACAAAAATACTAGTGTGGCTTCTTCGATCTAATGGGATTAAGAGTAAGTTAATTATCTTGATATAGTTAGAAAGAAAAAAAAAACTCAAACAATTATAGTTGTTATCAATGTCAAATGATTAAATTACAAAACAAAATCCAAAGAATAAAATGAAAAGGTAGCGATATACTATATTGATCTATGTTAACTTATAAAATAAATAATTTTAGTGATGGATATAATTACAATAAGTTAACCCGGTTAGACAATTTGCCTCTTTGTTTTTTCTTTTTTAATTCTTTAACTAACTGGGTCTTATTTGAATTTCAAGTAATTTTGAGTTCGCTTAAAGAATGAAGATAGAATTTAAGAAACAAGTAAATGTTAAAGGGTATAAAATTGAAAAAATACGAGTTTAAAAAAAAGGATAAAGACACTAGCAAGCTCTATGAATCTCTCGCGCTATGTCGTGGACCAATAATGTTTTGAAAGAAGCAAGAAGAACCTGATATCTAGATCATCAACTTGGCTATATGTGTCCAATAAGATTGGAAAAATTAACAATATGATTTAAATCAAAGGCAATAATAGAAAACAAACCATTAAAAAAAAACACTTAACATAATCTCCAATAAACGTATAAAATCTGAAAAAAAAAGACTTAAAATAATGATAAAAAAAAAAGGTAACTCCTAGCAAATGTCATTGATTTATGTTAACTTACTAAACTGAAATCCATGAAATTTCAAAACTAGAGGTTAACTAAAAAGCTTAAATTCGAATCAACTCAATGTTGAAGAATAGAATCGAGTGTAAAAAAAACACAAAACTAAAAAATTTAGCAAAGAAAAAAATAAGGACAAAATCTTATAGGAAAAAAAAATGATCGAGAGTGAAATTGTAAAAAAAAATTATCTCAGATAATATAAATAAAAATTAAAAGACCAAGGATTAAATAAGATAATTTTAAAAAATCAAATGAATATGGAATTGAAAAAAATTCAATTTTCACGAGTTATTTCAAAAAAAAAAATATCAACCAAGAAACCAGGGACTAAACAAGACAAATTAAAAAAAATAAAAGAGGATGAAATTGAAAAAAATCAATTCTCATGAGTTATTTAAAATAAAAAAATATCAATCAAAAGATCAAGAACCAAATAAATAAAAAAAGAGAGTAAAAAAAATCAAATAAGAATGAAATTGAAAATAAATTTTGATTTCATAAGTTATCTGGAATAAAAACAAATATCGACTAAAAGATCAGGATTAAAATAAAAAAAACAAAGAGAAATTAAGGGGTTGATTTTAAAAAATTATAGGGCAGGGAGCAAGAATAAAAAAGGAGAGAGGGAAAAGAAAATAAAAGCTACTAAGATCAAACCAAATGCTTATATTTTGAGAAAATATTAAAACAAATCTAAAAACACTCCAAAATGGTAATTTTAGTTCTCAGAATCAGCCGCTTATTTCATCCAAAAACGGTGGAGCACTTAATGTATTAATGCGTTCTTAGTACGCGCTAATTTTTTCTAAGTCCCTTTAATTAATTAGAAAACAAAACCAACAATCACTTTATCCAATTAAAAAAAAACACAAGAGTATAAGAACCAAAATATTCTTAGATATAAAACATAAAAAATTAAAATCCAAGGATAATAAAATATTTTTACTATATAAATAAAAAAGATAAAATAAAAACACCGTTATTAACCGGTTATTTTTATATATAAAATTAAACTAGCATGTATTTTATAAATAAAAATATAAATCTACCACTCAACAACACCAAACAATATAACAATTATAAGGATATGTATAAGAATTTACTGTATAATTTCAAAGTAAATACATACTATGCCTTTGATCAATTTAAAAATATCAAAATACTCCTTTTAGAAACACAATCATGCTCTCAACCTCCGCGTAAAAAAGGTTCTTATTTTTTTCCAAGGTAAAGTGATGGGGAACAGTGAATTCACCATCTATTTTAGTTTTTTTTTTAATATAATATATAATATAACCGGCGGGATTTATATTATTGTGGAAATATATAGAAACTCTCAACCTCACTTGGATATTTTCTCCGAGGTGCAGTGCTCGCCTTTTAATTAAGCAGCCCCGATGCACAGATACACCAGCATTATTTAAATAATTTAACGGTGTTATTAATAATAGTAAACTTTAATGATAGGGTAGCTTGCTAGGTCGTGTTAATATCCCCGGTTAACGGTGTTGTCGGTCACACCTGCGTTATTTAATTACCGCGTTTCGTGTTTTAATGTCTTATGTTTTCCTATTTTTTATTTAAAATTATTTTTTTATATTTTTAGATTATTTTGATATTACAAATAATTTTTTAAAAAATTAAAAAATACTATTTTAATTTATTTTAGGATTAAGAATATTTTTAAAAATAATAATTATAATATTTTTAAACATCCTGTTAATCATGTAGGTTAATCATTTAGGGTGGTTATGGGACAATGCACGCTCCGTATTTGGCCAAACAATATTTCCGGCATGTAATTCATTGCAAGGCAAGCAGTAGTGCTCTAAAAGCTTGCAATACTTGGAAAAAAGCTCTTTCTGCAATCTCTCTTGCATTGACTGCATTAGCTATTCTAGTGACTGGAAGGCAGAGGAAAGCCTTCTTATTAGTTTCAACAAGCTTATGCCTGGCTGGAGTTTAGCATGCCCAATTCTTTTGAAAATGAGCACAGCGAATTTCATAAGAACACAGGAAATTCTGAGCCAGCAATCCGTAAGCATCTAGTCTGTTTCTGTAGTTTTAGCAGAGGAAGATGATAGAACAACATTCACAACCTCGTGTATATCATCAAGTGAATGATAGGTGCTCTCTTTCTTGTTTTCTCGTCGGTAATAGGAGCTGCAAGTTTGATGCTTCATATTTGGATTTTATCTGCATCATTTTCTGCAAATCATGCAGTTCAAGTGAGTTTTGTTTGTGCGGTTGGCCGCACAAAAGACAACAAAATAATGTTTTTTGTGCTGCCACAACCAAACCATTGCAATAATTCTGAAAATTTTACACCTGATCCAAATCCCATGATTAAAACCAAACACCATTGTCGAAACTACGAAAGTAGTAGTAGGTAGAAGAAAATTATACCAATTAAATAACCTCAAGAAAGAATTTTTAATAAAATCTAAATAAAATTGTAATGTGGTCTGATTAACAAATATTTTTAAAATTATAATTAGATTAAAACGCGTTTTTAATCACACATCATTAAACTACCGGATACACTCTTAATGGGAAATGGGTTTGGGATAGTGTTTGACATCTTGAAAATCTCACAGCCGATTTGAATCCCATGATAAAAAACAAACCATTCTCAAAATAAAAATGATAATTATCAGAAGAAAAAATATACCATTCTTCTTCTTCTTTTTTTGTGCCATCCAAGCGAAACTTCTCAGTTCTCACCGCACCGCAGGTTTGAAATTTGAAGGCCCAGGGATCTCGCATTACGCGTTCTAGTTATTACACATCACAATCAATTTTCTACATTATATTGATCACGTTCACAAGAAATCCCACGACCAAGAGAATCTCAAAGAATAAATTAGAAATAATGAAAACGCCGTCTCCTTCTGGGAAATACAAGCAGCAGTTGGAAACGCAAGCAACACCAGATGGTACTCGAGCAAAGCAGCGGCAGCATTTGACAAGGGCGTCAACACACAAAGAAAATATCAAGTAATGCCGGCAAAGGGTCCCTCCCTTTGCATTCTCTCTCTCTTTTTTTCGTTCTCGGGGAAAGGTCCCTTCCTTTCTGATCGTCTAATATATTTTTGTCACAATTAAATCTTGAATTTTAATATTTTTTATATATCTTAATGCTATTACTGATGGTAAGTTAAATCGTCTATATCTCAGCTGGCGTGCTGATGATAAGTTTTATTTCTTTTATATTTTCTTAATATTCAAATTCCAAATAATACTAAGAGGGATCCAAGGTAAATAATTAATTTTGACCTCGGAAAAACTAATAAAATGTGACTGCCATGAAATCTCTGTCAAAGAAAGAGAGGCGATAGATTGAGAAACACCTAGGAAAACAATTCCAACACGTATACGACCCTACTCGCACAATAAAAATAAATAAAAACTTATTCCGGAAAAGTAAATAGAAATGTATACGTGTCGACCATTCTCAATGATTCATTTTATTGATTGAAGTGAAGTGGGTCCAAATCAACGAATACAAGACACGTGTCCCGAACTTTTTGCGCGAGCAGCTTGCCCTTCTGTGCAATCCTTCATAAATTAGTTGTTAAAAGATATTCCCGCAAATACAGGAACTGTAAGGGGGTCCCGTATCCTCCCGACTAGTCGTCAGCTGTGTGAACTAGATCACTGTTTAAGCGTGAGAGCTGTATCGGTCCACGTGGAAAAATGAGTTATGATGAATCTTGTGGTCCCCGTCTGAGGCTGTGACCTTTGTTTCGGAGGACGCGCCCGTGAGGGAGGACAGGCGTCGTTGACGGAGCGGAGCACCGATTCAGATAATCCTCCATCTGTCTATATTTCTTCCCTTATACTTTTGTTTGCTTTATTATGTTAACTATCCTTGTTCTTTAAATTTGACTCCTCCATGCTCCCTTAATCATAATATTCCTGCCTGGGTTGTAGCTTTCCTTCTTTTGTTTCTAGTTTTAGAAGCTACTAATTATTTCCAGAGGAACTGTTTTTAGAATATTTTTTATTTAAAAATATATTTAAATTTATTTTTTATATTGATACATTAAAATAATTTATCAATATAAAAAAATAATTTCAAATAAATTAAAAAATTCAAATTTTTTTAAAATATTTTTAAAATACAAAAACAAACATGTTTTTATTATCTCATTGCTTATGTAAAATCCTTCCGCAAAATGATTTTTAAAATAATTTTTTATATAAAAATATATTAAATTAATTTTTTAAAGAAATGAGTTGAGATTCAAGAAAAAAACGTGTTGTCTAAATTTAGAAGTGACCTCTTTGGAGTTGTTAGATAATACATGTAAACTAATAATAAAAAAAAATATTAATAGTTAGTTCACGGGAAATATTTCAAATATATATCATAATTTACCCACACATTTGAGAGTTTTCCATAGTATAAAGGAAACTTTTATTAGGAATTTCACTCTTAATTTTGTTGCGTGCATTACTTCTTCTGTGTTCCAAACCTTTAGGTTTTGTTTGGGAACAATGATAATGCAATAATCTGATTTGTACAAATAAATCAACGGTGCTTTCGAAAAACTTGGCAGGAGGGAGGAGAAATGGCAGCAACCGGCGTGGACAATAAATTGACTTGGGATTTGGGAAGTGTTTTGCATGTGGAATCCAAAAGCATCTGAAATGTGATTCCCAAAAATAAAATAGGAAGAGGGAAAGAGGATGAAACGACGATCAATCTTAGCATTTTATGATAAACAAATAAAGGGCTGTATTTCTTAAGAAACCAAAAACAATGCTAGAGATATTACTAGTTTTCACTGCTATATTTCTCTAGTAAAACTACAAGGAGACTCATTCTTCTCTGGTCTGAGTGTGGTTGCTTTTAATATTATTTTTGTTATTATGATTTTAAAAAATAATTTTTTTAAAAATATAGTTAATTATAATTTAATATGTATTTCATAAAAATTATAGTTAAAGTTTATATGTAGTAAAAATATACATAAAAAATATTTGATAATTATTTCTAAAAGTGTGGTTGTTATTGCTTTCAAAATATTTTTTACTTGAAAATATGCTAAAATAAAAAAATTATTTTTGATATTAATGCATTAAAATAATATGAAAATACTCAAAAAATATTAATTTAAAATAAAAAATAATATAAATTTTTTATAAATATTAATTTAAAATAAAAAATAATAAATTTTTTTTATATTTTTTAAAAAATATTTTTGAAACATAAAAACAAACAAGATTTAAATTTTTTTACAAATTTAAATTAAAAAAACATATAAAAACTAGGCATAAAAATTACATTTTTAACTCAGTTTTTTAATAATTTCCATAACATAAAATATAGTTTAATTTATTATCAAACATCTTATTACATTTATTTCACCACAAACACAAAAACTATCCAAAAAATAATAAAAATAAACACAGCATAAATCCATCCATTTGCACCAATAGTTGAAACTTCGTATCTCACTGGGAAATATCTATGTGTATTAAACACAAGAAAATAATTTGGAGAAATCAGAGACTGGGAATTAATCTTGAAAAACCAAGAGAATCTTATTAAACATATAGGAAATAAAAGAAGAAGGAAACATAAAGGACCCACAAGGAAGAAAACGTGAAAACTCAAAAAAAATAAAAAATAAAAAAATAAGTAGCTGCAAGATAAAAAAGGAACGGGACTCAAAGCACTAGAATTTGCCTCACCGCCAACGCCAAATTTTTATTCATAGTTTCTAGTTCTCAACAGAAGATTAGAGACATGTCCCGATACAAATTTCTACGCGTTGGATTGGCATGCAGATTTCTTTAAAAAATTTATAGTAGTATTACTTACATTTTCTTTTTAAATATTTTTTTAATGACAATTACTTTGAAATAATATTTTTTAGTTCTTATATATTTATTTTTAAACCAAAAATAAAATAAAATAAAATATTATTTTTTTAAAAAAATACAGAAACAAACAGACAAAATTGCCCTTCACAGTATCATTGCCGAATCACTACAAAGAAGCTTAAGCTCAGATAAAAGAGAAATCCACTCTAATTTGAAAAATAGATGATTTAATTATCTAAAAAGGATATATTACTCATAATAAACACTCTACCGAAGCAATTCATAAAATGGAGAGCCGAGCAATTTGCAACCCCAAAAAACTTAAAAGGTGATGATATAAAAACGGGCGCAGACAGGCACGTCCTATACACAGTTACCCCCCCTCTAAAGATACAAGCAAGAAATACAGAGAGAGAGAGAGAGAGAGACCTTCTGCCTCTTCATCTCCCCCATCTCCTCCTTCCCTCTCTGAGAAAGAATATACAGAGGCTTCCGAAATCCATCCGATATGGGTAAAGAGAGATCAGAGAAAGAGAGAGGTGGAGGAGAGCAGAACAAGAGGAATTTGTTTGTGTCTTCTGTTGTAATGAACTCATGTGCCGCCGAGCTTAAACTTCTTTTGACAGCTCTTTTAGTTGTTTGCAGTATTGCTACTCTTTTCCAGATTCTCCCTTCACGTTTCACTATCTCTGCTTCTGATCTCCGGTTTTGCATCTCTAGGATTTCCACCTCCAACACCTCCATCGCTTCCCTCAATAGCACCCCAACCAGTACCCCAACCATGCCTCCAAGCCCATCTCCGCCCTCCATTCGAAAAGATCAAGTGGCTGACAATGGTGTTATCAAGCGAGTGTTTAACCCTTATGGTTCAGCTGCTTATAATTTCATCACCATGGGTGCTTACAGAGGTGGACCGAACACCTTTGCTATCATTGGCCTTGCTTCAAAACCTCTCCATGTTTACTCAAAACCCACTTACCAATGTGAGTGGGTCCCCCAATCCTCCTCTGCATCTAACTCTACTTTCTCCACTGTTGCTTACAAGATGCTCCCTGATTGGGGTTATGGTCATGTCTACACTGTTGTTGTAGTGAACTGTACCTTTTCAGAGGCAGTTAACAGTGAAAATTCAGGTGGGAAGTTGTTCCTGGAAGCCTCAACATCAGGCGGTGGTGATAAAGATTTTAACATTACTGATAGATTTGAGGTTTTAAATGAATCTCCAGGAGATATAAACACGACCCTTTTTAGTTCAAAGCCTAAATACGATTATTTGTATTGTGGGTCATCCTTGTATGGTGGGCTGAGTCCACAAAGAGTGAGGGAATGGATTGCTTATCATGTGAGATTATTTGGAGAAAGATCCCATTTTGTGATACATGATGCTGGTGGGGTTCATGAGGAGGTTTTGGAAGTCTTGAAGCCATGGATGGAATTGGGTTATGTTACATTGCAAGATATAAAAGAACAAGAGAGGTTTGATGGGTATTACCACAATCAGTTTATGGTTGTCAATGATTGTTTGCATAGGTATAAGTTTATGACCAAGTGGATGTTCTTTTTTGATGTTGATGAGTATATTCATGTGCCACAAAAGAATACTATCAAGTCTGTCTTGGATTCGCTCTCGGATTATACTCAGTTCACTATTGAGCAAATGCCTATGAATAACAAGCTCTGCCTCTCTGCTGATTATGGTAGATATTACAGGTATAATTATGCTTGCTCACTCTCTTTTTTTCTCTCTTTTTAATTTATCTCTTATTTTAACTCTGTTTTATCTTTCCTATCATGATTGATTTCAAGCTCCTAGAACTCTAAGAATGGGTCTCTCTTTTTTCTCTGTTCCGGTATTTGTGCTATATTGGAATTCTTTTTGGTTTTTGTGCGCGTGTGTGAAAATGGATGTGTCGGTTCGCATAATGGTCCTGCTGCCACAATAATTGAATTTTGCTTTGGTAAAGTTTTCACATGGAGAAAATCAGCTTCTAGGCCTCACGAGATGGGTATAGAATATAGATTGTTGGTTGACTGAGTCTTTGGGATTTTGGCAAAACTGGAGCGTTATTCGGTTTTTGTAGTTTTGTATGATACTTTGCACATTAGGGATGCTGGGTTGGAACATTTTAGGACTAATGTTGAACAATTAAACAAAAGATTGAGTAAAGTGTTTGGAATTATTCACCTGGTGACCATACCTTGATTCTTCTCTCGTCTCTTTATCAGGGCAGGTGGAAGTGGGGTGGGGGTTAGAGTTTTGTTCTAAAGTGATTGTCAGTTAATAATAACTATGATTAGGAACCTTCTCAATTCTTTTTTATTATCAATGCTGTGTTCTTTTTATTCTTGAAGAATCTAAAGCAAGGTTCAATTGCAGATGTTCGCTTCTTAAAGATAGGAAAACCACAGAGATCAAGATAGAGTTCATTGTGGTAATGAAAAATGGATTGTTGTGGTGAAATGAACTTGGAAAATCAATAAAAATCAATTAGATAGTCGTGAATGATCAATTACGTTGATGTTTTTCTATCAAAAGTAAATTGATGTCTATATAAAATAGTGAGATTGCACTGATGTTGATGTGAAATAGAAAATTTTAATATCGAGACTGTTTCTACAATGACTTATTTATGATGTTGGGCTTTACGCCAGATGACTACGATTTTGTTCATGACAAAAGATCTCCCTGCATCAGAAACTTGATTTCATGAATCGCTTTCATGCCGTGTGATGTTTGATGCTTGGTCCCTTTTTGAGACGTGTTTGATGCATGCAGCATTTAGGATTTCGTTATTACTAGTTGTAAAGTAAGTGCAGGTTGCATTGACTTGTATCTTGTTCCCTTCATAACATGGCTTGTGATTGTGCTTGTATTCACAGAAAGTGGGGGTTTGAGAAACTTGTGTACAAAGATGTGAAGAGAGGCATAAGGAGAGACCGAAAATACGCAATCCAACCACGCAATGTGTTTGCAACCGGGGTGCACATGTCCCAGAACGTTGCCGGCAAAACAACACACAAAACTGAGGGCATGATCAGATATTTCCATTATCATGGAACCATAGCACAGAGGCGTGAGCCGTGCCGGAACTTGCTCAATGTCACAGAAATCAACTTTGAAAACAATCCTTATGTTCTTGACACAACAATGCGAGATCTTGCTTGGTCTGTGAAGAAATTTGAGAACCAAATGATTGGACCCAAGCTAAAAAATACTCGGCAATGACTGGATGATAGATTTTCTTTCGATACTATGTGGTTGCTTGGTAGCAACTCTTTATCCTTTCTTTTTATTATTGTTTTACTTAAGGCTGGGTAGATCAGAAATATTCATTGGGGAGGTGCTCTTTTCTGTATCATATTGTTTTCCTTTTCTTTTACGAGTATAGATAGATACAGGTGATGTATGAATGATAATATGGGAGGTGCTCCATTCTTTAAATCCTTCTACGTATATATGTGTATTTATATAAATTTGCCTGCAAGTTATTTTTCACGTAAATCATGGGTGATATGTTGTCGGTATGATGTCCCACCAGCCACCTTTGGGAGGTAAAGCAATGTGCTTGATTTTCATGCTGCCTGCCTCCACACCTTTTGGTTTATCCCTCGTCGATGCCTTATGCTTTCGTTGTGTTTTTGATTGAAAGACCAAAGTGAACAGCATGTGGCTCTGGTTTCCAAGGAAAGCCACAGGCTGTCTCTCTTTTCCCTTTATAATCTTTTTGACAGGTCGAAACGGACATGTGGGTGAGTGACAACATAGAGGTCCCTTTCAAATGTCTCCTCTCCCAACTAATCCATGAAAAAAAATCATTATTCTTCACAATATAAAAGTATTTAGTTTGACTCCTTTCTTCTAATACTGTTTCATAAAAGTCTTATTATGCAAGTTTTATTCAAGATGTGTGGAAATTAACTTGAAATATTCTGCATAAAAAAGCAAAAAGAAGGAGCAACTTGATATCTGCAACTAGGTTACATATATTTGAGGTTCAAAATAAAGATCCCACGATTGTTTTATCTTACCTGTATTTTTAGCAAGTATTTCACAAGAAAAAGAAATCTGAAATACTAATAAATTTGGTTCGGTTGGTAGGTCCCATCACTTCACGTGTTTGTGAATCACGTACATAATTCACACACAAAATAATTAAGGTGATGCATGAAATGGAATAATATTGCGAGACAACGGCTGTATTTATGGCCATACCTTGAAAGGGAGGGTAATGGAACCACACACCAACTGAAATATTCTCTAGCATGGAATTGCTGTTCTATCCATGCCTCATTTGCGAACACTGCCAGCTTCTGCTAGCTAGTTCAACACAAGCCCATTTCTCCAGCTATTTTTGAGAGAGACTTCGTGTCCTGTAGCTTTGTCACTACTCATGACCTTTAATTATTAATTTCGTTGCATTCTTAATTATTTATCTCTAAATGATTGATCAGGCTAATTTCCCAGTAAGTACCCCCTTCGGCTCTCGTTTTTAGCTTCAAGAAATATATTACACAGTCGTCATCCTCTTCCTACCAAGTTAATACAGGAAGGAATTCACTCTGCTAAGCCCCATAAGAGTCCGATGTTAATTACTAGCTAGCCAGTACTCCTGAGATGGTCTGGGACGCATAAGCCTGCAAGCCCTGGTCTCTAATCATAATACTGGAGCATATAATATTCCATAAACGAAAGTTATGATATTGGGAATGAAAGCGACATGGCCTGGAACCTGTGGAAGAGGCCACTCACCGTCCAGGACGTCGCTGCATGATCACATGAGGGCGCCTGAGCTGGGTCAATATCTCCTCGATCCTTCATTAATTAATTATCATGCCAATGGTTCTGGCTTCACTTACCAAATCAATGAAGGATTTCAAAGTCAAAAGTGACCAGTAATTTCTTTCTCTCTAAAAGATTGTTGAATCTCCATTGCTTGAAGGATTTGTAAGAATTGGTGGTCAGCGTTGCGAGACAACTCAACGAGGTTCCATCATCAGTGCTTGAAATATTTTTCTTTTGTTGCTTAATTTGATCCTTGCTTCGGTTAGAGAAGAACCTCCCCGTCTAATTAATTAAGAAAATATGGCAATTAAAGCTATACCTATACATCTTTGTTTATTCATCTATTAATCTAGCTAGCTATCCATGGGAAAGACGGAGAGGTCGCAAAGGTTCTTATTGGTGAACAGCACCTCCCAAAAGCATTAATTCCCACACTGTTCATATTTTTGTTTTCCTTTGTATAGATTATTTCTTGTACATAAAAATAGATGGCCATCATTAAATATATGGTATAGTGTGGGACAACGCACATGAGAGCATGTGGAGCAGGAATTGGGACAATTTATGCTTGCGTGGAGTCTGTATGGGCTAGGTTCCATCACAGGAAGGGAGGAAGGGAGGAAGAAGGGGATGTCTGCAGTGAAGTTTTTTGCTTGTAAATATATTAAATATTTTATTATTATTTTTAATATTACAATATTCAAATGTGGTTAAAAAAAATAAAAAAATATTTAAAATAAAAAATAACCTAGCTCTTAATAATAAGCTAAGAATCTAGGTGGGTTTTCTATAATAAGATGAGTCACGGAGAACTGAACCAACCCATAATTGCAATAACGAGAATTAAAAGCTTTCATCCACCCTCCTCAAACACACCATTTTGTGGGTCTAAGCATATATTCTGTTCGGTGGAGCACTTATTATTATTAATCTAGTTTCAACGACGATGAACAGTGTCTATAAATTTCTGCTAATTGCTCCATGTGGTTAGGGCAACAAATCATGTCTCTTTGAGATTTAAAGTTTCCACCGCTAATCTTGTCAATCCTCTGTCAAATTTATTTATTACAAATTTAATAGGATGAATTAATTGAGCAGATAAAGTGTAATTTCATAGGGGTACGGTGTCGGTGTAGACCTGTAGAGGTGTGTGACAGAAAAGTAAACGATACCTAGGGAGCTATTCCATTACATGTATACTTGTGGATTTTCAGTTCTTATTTGTTGATTGATTAATTGATTTGGTGAATGTAGACAAGTACCCAACAAGTAATTAGGAACTTAAAAGCAAACCCCAGAAGACTTTTCCCCGATTACTCGGTCAGTGAACATGTTTGTTTTGTTTATTTATTATTTTGGCATGTGATTTGTAATTTGATTAAAAAAATTGATGTATTTTGTAAATGTTACTATTAAAAAGCATGACAAGTTAGCTCTCATGCTTCATAAGCACAACAAGATAGGTAGATGTTGTGGTTTAGAAGCACCACGTTTACCAAATGTTGTGTTTTTAAAGCTAGTTAGCTTAGGATGTGATGCTTTTAAAGTGTAATATTAATTAAAAGTTAAAGACAACTAGATAACTTTTTTCTATCTCTAAAATCGAACATCACCCCCTCACAATCTCTCAAAAAAA